TGACTGAGAGGTGATTATCATTTTATAGGTAATTTCTACATTTTATTTATTCCAAATAAAATAAAGTTATAAATCTCTATAGAAATGCACTTTTTGGGTAACACATAAATATAGTTCAGTAAACAAACACAATCCTCCATTTTGTTCATCTGCGAATTAGCGAACCTTAAGCTTGTGATGTTGTCTTGAAAAAATTATGAAAGCGTTTCTCGTATTACTTCTTTATGTAGTTATATAAGGTTTATTTTGTTTCTTCATCTCCACTTATTTGATAATAGAGTCACATGACTCAATTATAAAATGAGTGATAATCAAGAAGCCAAATAAGCCATATATAACAATAATTTTTTTTATCAGTTGTTATTAAGTGGGATACCATCAATAATATAGCATTGAATTCTTCCACCATTTTTTTTTTGAATATCTTCCACCAATTCTATTAAACACAGGAACAATAAACATCTTATTTAGGACCTAAAAAAATAAAATAAAAAATAGGACTCACGACCCAATCAACACTCCCAACTTCAAATTGATTTACTTCAAAAAATACAGTTCATTCCCATTGTATTTTATAATAATAAAAGGTTTCATATAAACAAATGTGCGAATTTGAAAACTGGCCTGGGTCCCCAAATCATTCCTTCAGTCTATCTCTGCCCAGTCCCCACCAGATTGGCAGATTCCCCTAATTTCTTTTTGGATGGACCATAGTTTAAATAAATACAAAATTCCTCATTTCCTCCCTCCACAAGATATTAGCAGAGTTGTTTATTTAAAATTGACTCACAATGAAGTTGTAAAGTTAAATGTTCCTTGCTTACAATGAAAACTTCACTTATAAAACTAATTTACAAATTACTAAACCGCCAAAAATAAATTCAAATATTATAGGAGTACAATTTAAATTTCAAGATAAATGAATAAAATGGAATATTACAAAATCACTCTATGTAGTTCCCAAAATAGCAAATATTTGATGTGTGAAACCTAACCTTGTGTCGTGGTGCAACTTTTAAAAATTTTTATACACCTTTTTTCTCTGGCAGTATTGCAGATTAAACATTCTGCCAATCAACAACCAGTACAGAAGCAGCGCGGCCCCACCAGCAGCCGTGAATGGCGGCTGCAAGACGGTGGGAAGGTGGTTCAAGGACAGGAGAGAGAAGAAGAAAGAGGAGACAAGAGCCCAAAATGCACAATTACATGCTGCCGTTTCGGTCGCTGGCGTGGCGGCAGCCGTTGCTGCCATGGCCGCAGCAGCGGCAGCTTCTTCATCCTCCGGGAGAAAGGATGAGCAAGCAGCCAAGACTAAAATGGCAGTAGCTTCGGCTGCCACCCTTGTGGCCGCTCAATGTGTGGAAGCTGCCGAATCAATGGGGGCCGAGAGGGAGCACCTCGCATCAGTGGTTAGCTCAGCAGTAAATGTCCGATCACCCGGAGATATCATGACACTCACAGCTGCAGCTGCTACTGGTACCCACTTTTTCCATGGCCAACAATTAAGTTACTGTCATGATTTATCGTTTTAATATGCAACATAGACTATAGGTCTTGACAATTGTTTGAATTGTTACACGGTGCTACATTAAGAAAAGGGCAGATCGTTACACCTTGGCATCCCCGGGGCAGGGGTCCCACCACAATAGTGTATAAGGAAGAGCTTTCCCTCGTCATTTTGACAAAAGGTTGCTCTCAAGACTTGAACTTGTGACCTCTCGTTCACAAGCAACACCGTGAACGGTGCCCCAAAGCTCCCCTTCACGGTGATACCGTGCTAGATTTAACAGAATACTTTAAATTATTATTATCATAATTATTTTTGAAATAATTATATGAACTTAAATTAGTGAGCAATTGGTTTTGACACTAACACAGTGACATAAACTTTGAAGCATTGAGAGGGGCAGCAACATTAAGGGCAAGGGCATATAAGGATGTGTGGAATGTGGCTGCAGTGACTCCAGTAGAGAAAGGATATGGGGGGAATGGGAGCTCTTCAAGTAGTGGTGAGCTCATAATTGGCCCCTCTGAAGACAACTTTCTTGGGATCTGTAGCAGGGAAATGCTTTCCAGAGGTGGTGAGCTCCTAAAGCGCACAAGAAAAGGTATCATCCACAGGTCACATTCTCTTATACAGTACATATTTTTGGTCAAAAGTGACTTGACAAATTTTCTTGGGATCAGTCCACTGATCATTGATTTGGAAAGTACTTTAATTTATTTATTGTAATGTTGTACATCATCTTTAGAAAATTTTCCATTTTTGGTCCCCACAACAATAGAGTGATTCTCAGCTTTCATCACTGACTTTTATTTTTTAGTTTTGTTCATTACTATGGATTTCACCATACTTTATGTCAACACAATATCTGGTCCATTTGTGCTGTGAATAATTAACTAGGATGAGCCAATAAGGGCAAGGAGCTAAGAAATCCCTAAATGATTGTGCACTAAACGTGGAAAAATGAGAGTTCATGATTAAAAGTGAGAAAAATTGTTGAAAATTAAACTTGTCGTGGAGGCTAAAGTAGAATTACCATTTTTACTATTTTTACCGCTTTAAATCAATCTCAAAAGAATGTCCTTAGGAATATTAAAAAGAGAGATCAAAAGACGCTCTCCATTATCCATCAATTAACTATAGTTGTGGAGGCCAAAGTAGGATTTTTTTACCATTTTTAGTTGGTCTTGTACAAATACTGGGCACTTGTCTAATATAAGTTTAAAAGGTTTGCATTCTTTAAAGCATATTGGTCTGATTGCAGGTGAACTCCACTGGAAGATAGTGTCTTTGTACATCAATGGAATGGGCCAGGTAGGCTTGCTCTTGGGGTTACTTTATAAAGCTTTATGTTTGGAATTCACGAAAGAGGGAATTTAATAAACCATATGAATGAATAAAGTTCTGATTGGTTCTAGACAATGGACTTTGCTTTCATTGTTTGGTTGGAATATAACTTTTGGCAGTCACAGGTAACATTGAAGATGAAGAGCAGACATGCTGCTGGGACCATCACCAAAAAGAAAAAGAGTAAGTTTTTTTATTCGAAAGAATGTTTTTTTAATCCAAAGTAAAATATAATTGAAAATAAGAAATCAGGAGTGTTGCTTTTCCCTCTGTCATGATGTGAACACAATTGGATGTTTGAGTCTTACCTTGGGATCTGATAGAATGAGTACACAATTGAGTGGGATAAAAAGATGAAAAAGGTGTCATCTTCATTATTAATTTTTATTCTTTTTTTGACATTTTGTTGAATTTTGTATGTGCAGATGTGGTCCTGGATGTGTTGACAGATGTTCCCGCTTGGCCGGGGAGGCACCTAATAGAAGGCGGCCAGAATTTCCGTTACTTCGGGCTGAAGACCATCTCGAGGGGAGTCGTGGAATTCGAATGCAGAGATGAAGGGGAATATGAGGTGTGGACTCAAGGTGTTTCAAGACTTCTAACTTATGCAGCTGAAAGGAGGTCCAAAGGACATAGGAGATACTAAATATTTGCAATCTTGAATCCACTACCTTGGCCCATTTTGCACCGTTAGACGCTGTGGGGCCCATGGTTACTGGCCCTTCAAACAAGTCTGATGGAGGCTATGCTTAGTTAATGTGATGATGCTAGTTTTTTTGCCACTAACCTCTTGTATTTTGGAATTAGGGAGGGTGTTTCTTTTGAACTCATGCAGCTAGTTTCCCTTTTCTCTTTCAGTGCCCAAGTGTGTTTTGTAAATCTAATTTACCTGAAAAGGGGTTCATATTGATACTAGTCATCGTTGTCTTCAATATTTGACATGTCAATTGTCAACCTGATACAGGAATCTGATTATTAATCCTTTCTCCGGATCCTTTAGATCTTAATTAGCTCCTCTCCCGTGACTGGATTTTTCCAGTAGGAGAGGGTGAGAGATAGAGTATTGTGGGATAGGGAAAATAAAAAACTGGGGTTTGGATTAGTGATTGCAAGAGAGAATTGACTAAAAATAAATGAAGAGAAGTGGAGAGAAGGATATGGAGAGAGAGAGAGGGGTACATGACTCCCCAGTATTGGTACAATGCTGCTTCGATTATTTTAAAGTAGAATATACTCCGTAATTAATACTCCTCTGTCCCGCAATAAACTTCACACTTCTTTTTTGGGCAGTCCCAAAATTAATTTCACACGTCAAAACTTTCTATATTTGGCAAATTATCTACATCAAAACAGTGTCCAATATGATTTTGAGAGGAGAATCGGAGAAAAGGAAATTCCTGACCAACAAGAAGATGATCACGACAATGAAATCATTTGCGTTAGTTCTCAGCAATTCCTCACACATCCATATTCATCTGAAGACGGCTTTGCTATTCAAAGGTGTTCTTCCGATTATGATATACCCTGAAGAGGAAATCAAAGTTTTTGTTGATCGGCACAAGTTTGCTTTGGTTGGATCTTTTTTACATGGTCATCCTAGTATGGCTATTTTACAGAATAGCTTTGAGCTTATTGGATTCAAAGGTTAGTTTCATCTAGGACTCCATGTACAAAAACACGTACTAATTCGGTTTGAATCGGATGAGGATTATCAAAGGTGTTGGGCTCATTAATCGTGGAATACATTCAAGGGTTTCCTATGCGTGTCACGAAGTCGACAGGAGACTTTCAACTGAATATTGAATCTCCAATAATGCCAGTGTGGGTATCTTTGAAGCCAGTGTGAATCTCCTATTGACCTACATGACAAAAATGCTCTTTTTCTTATTGTCAATAAACCTTTGAAAATGGACAACGCCATAACTACCCTATGAGACCTTTTGTTGTGCGGGCTTGTGTGGAACTAGACCTAACAAAAGAGATGCCATCTAAACTCATGATTGTGGGGGATTCGTCATGTTTCATGAATGATGAAACCTAACAAAAATGAGGACCACCCACTATATTGTATTGCCTGTAATAGGTTGGGTCACACTGATAACAACTGTCCCAAAAATATAATAAGCAGAAGCACTAATGCAATAGCTCATGTGATTGCAAAACAAGTCTGGAATCCCAAAACTAAAGACAATACTCAAGACAAAGCTCCAAACAATAAAATCACTGGGGCCATCACCTCTTTTCATAGGAAGGTTTCAGGAGAGGTCCAATTGCACCAAAATACACAAGTTATAAAAGAAATTGTTTTTGAAGATGAAGGTGACGGGAATCGAAGGAAGAAGGTTGAAAAGCAGTTTATACCATCCAACAATTGTTTCTTATGGAAGTTCCGGATTTGGTTCCCTCTCACCGATATGATCTTAACGAACCCTTTGATGACTCTACACCAAATTAAGGCTAGCTTGGAGTTTAATCCTTCGTTGCTAAATAAAGGACATGCTACTCATGGAGACAGTCCACCTAATATTTCTTACATGGTGGTTTGGCTTGAAGAGTTGGAGTACGTCCCTGCAAACAAAAGTAGCTATTATAGTTAAAAAAACAGGAAGAACTGGAGGCTAAGTTACTAGTCCACAAGATACTTTACCATGGAGGTTCTATTCAAGTGGTGAGGAGGAAAAGGCAACCTAGGTTTCCTCATGAGGCATCCTCTATTCTTAACAGATAAGCTGCCAAAAAGATCTTATGAGCGCATTTACCAATTTATTTATGAATTTCCTATTTTGGAATAGTAGGGGCTGTGCTTCCTCCTGCCCAAGGCTTTCTAGTTTAGTTGGACAGTTAGTTTATTTCTATTTTTGAACATATGAATGATAATCATAAAAGGGAGGCTCTCAAGATGGAGTTAGGTTTCTCGAACTGTTTTTACACTCAAATAGAAAAAGTTAGGGCCTGTTTACTAACAGAGATATTTTCCTGTTTTCTACTTCTGTTTTTCGTTCTCCAATTTTCTGTTTTTATTTTTCAGTTTTTCTATCTCCAATTTTCTATTTCTATTTTTTAGTTTTCCATTTTCAAATCTGAAAACATGTTCATCAATTTTTTCACCCAGTTCTGTGATCATCAAGAAGACTGAGGACAAGTTCACTTCACGAGTTACTAAAGGGTGCTTATTAAAATCCGTGTTAATAAGCGGCGCATAAAATAAGCAATGTTGTAAGATAATGTTTACTTCAAAAGGTTTAAAACACCGTTTAACATTAAAACGTCCAAAATAACCATATACATATATAGACACACAAACATTCATGAACACAAATATATAATATAATATGTGGGGTCGATCACCTCGTACTTGTACCCATACCCCTACCCCTACCTTTACCACGATCTTACACTCTACCCATATTACCCTACAACCCTTAATACCCACCCATACCTACTCGTAGGGGTCGGGATAGGGAAGGTATGGGTTGGGGTGGGGTAAGGGGTATGGTCGGGGGTGGGGTGGTAAGGTCTAGGGGTAGGGGGTGGGTGGGGGTAGTTGGTGGACTAGGTTCGTGGTTAGGGGTAAGGGTGGGGGTAGTGGGTAGGGGTTGGGTTTGGGGTAGGGTGGGGAGTTTGGGGTTGGATGGCGGTAGGGTGGGGGTAGGATGGCGGTACGAGGGTGGACGTAAGATGGCGGTAGGGTGAGGCCGAGGTAGGGGGCATGTGGTAAGGGGTAAGGTAGGGGTAAAGGGTATGGGTAGGGTGGGTCGGGGTGGGGTCGAGGTGGAAGGGGGGTGGCAGTAGGGTAGGGTGGATCGGGGTGGGGCCGAGGTAGGGAAGGGTAGGGAGGTAGGATGGTGGTAGGGTGGGGGTAGGATGGCAGTACGAGGGGGTAGGGTAGGGTGGGTCGGGGTGGGGTCGAGGTGGTAGGGGGGTGGCGATAGGGTAGGATGGATTGGGGTGGGGGCCGAGGTAGGGGAAGGGAAGGGTGGGGGGTAGGATGGCGGTGGGGTGGGGGTAGGATGGCGGTAGGGTGGAGCCGAGGTAGGGGCATGTGGTAAGGGGTAAGGGGTAATATACGAGGGGTGGGGGTAGGGGTAGGGTGGGTCGGGGTGGGGTCGAGGTGTTAGGGGGGTGGCGGTAGGGTAGGGTGGATCGGGGTGGGGCTGAGGTAGGGGAAGGGTAGGGGATAAGGGGTGGGGTCATTATAGGGAATAGGGGTACGCGAGGTAGGATGGGTAGGGGTAGGGTATGGGGTAAGGTACGAGGATGGAGGTACCAGAATGGAACTATCATCGGAGCGGGACCGGATCCACCACTACGTGTAAGTATGCAAATTCATTGCAGCGGCACTGTAGAATCTGCGTTTTCCAAATTTGGAAAACTAGTAAATGTCACTTCTCCAAATCATTAAGGAAAAGAGAGACATGTCTCATTTTTTTCGTTTTGGAAAACGATTTGGTAAACACGTTTTTCTGTTTTCCTTTCTCCAGTTTTCCAGCAATTTTCTTTGGTAAACACGTTTCCTGTTTTCTGTTTTCCAGTTTTCCAGTTTACCAGTTTTCTGAAAAACTGGAAAATATCTCTGTTAGTAAACAGGCCCTTAGTTGTTCTAGAAATCTTCTATGCTATTATTTCCCAGATTACTTGGGAGGAGCAGTTGGTTCATTGTTTTGTGACTTTTGAGTCTCTCATTTTGGCTTACTTCCATCTATGGCAAGTGCTCTGTACTTGAAAGGAGAGAGCTTTGAGGATTTTTCTCCCATTGGTACAAGAATAATCAGTCTCCCAGAGTTGAAGGAGGTGATTTTAATGTCATAGTAGCTTATGAGGAACATAAATGTTCATATATTCCCAATTATGAATACATGGAAGATTTCAATATTTTGTAACTCACTATGAGCTAATTGATTTGCCATGGACCGAGAGTCAGTTTACCCTGCCTGGGGTGAGAAGAAATGGCAGGGTTTGGAGACTGTTAGACCGAATTCTCATTAACTGAGCTTTGGGAAGCTATTTGGTCCTATTCCTAACCAACACCTTAATGAGTTTAATTCTGATCACAAAACAATTATTTGTACCCACTATTGTACCCACTTATGTACCCAGCATGTCTGTGACGAGTTTTTTTTGTCTGTGAATTTCTTTCATAGACAAAAATATGTCTATGAAGACATGGTGGGTACAATAGTGTGTACAATAGTGGGTACACGAAGAAGCTCCCTTCTAATCATACCCCTCTTTTATGAAGTGCAAGATCAATCATTTTCAGGACCTAAACCTTTTAGGTTGGAGAACGCGTGCACGTGTGCTAGGGTGGATTGTTGGGCCGCGGGGATGTAGTGTCAGTAGTTCTGTCAGTCTGCGGGTGCAATCGACGGTGACACTTTGTCTGTTCTATAAGGGAGCAAATATGTGCTACACTTTCAGTGATTACTTTTAATGTAGCGGTAAGCGATGTTTGTTTTCTCGCACTTAATAAAATACATGTAGCAGTAGTATAGGATTTTAGTACAAGTATCGTCTCCACAAGGATGGAAAAGGTAAATTAAGTACTAATTAATTTGAGTGATTAAAAATGAATAAATAAATGCGATTGTGCGAGATGATTTTTTGGAATTAAGTGCGACGAATAAAAAGCTAAATTAAAAGGCCCTTTCAAATTAATGACAAAAGGGTAATTGATTACGTGACATTCAGATTTTGAGGCTGACCAGATTTAATAACATTAAAATTATTGAATTGAGCAACACTAATCAATACCACTATTCTGAAAATCGGCCTAGTAGGACCGATTAGTCAGTCTAGTCGGTCCTAACTGTAGAGGACTAATCGGCCCAGTAGCCAAAAAAATTGACCTAGACGGCCTCCTAATAATAAGTGTTTTACTCCATAATATGTAACACTTACTCCCTCCGTCCCACTACCAATGTGACAAGAAGGAGTGACACGCAAACCAATAAAGAACGGTATGTGTGGTTGGTATTGAATTGATAAGGTAATAACATCTCCAATGGGCTTCTTTTAACATAATAAAAAATTGCCACATCATCAATTTTGAAAGTGTGGTGGTATTTTTGTCTCCAATCCATTCTTTTATTAGGTCTTTGGAGCTGATCTGGATTCAACACTTTCAAGTAGGGGTCGGCAAACGGGTACAGGAACTATGGGTCGGGCCGGGTAATACAGGTTTGGGACGGGTTAAGGTGAGGTCCTAATTTTAGAAAACCCAAATGGTTCGGGGCGGGGCGGGTCCTTAAAAACTTAGGTACCGAACGGGTCTTAAAATTTGAAAAAATGGGTACCCGGACCGAACCGTTCTTAAATATTATTTTAATACTCTATTATATTTAATACAGAGTATAATATACTCATAACACCTGAACGCTCTTCATGTTCTTATGTCTAGATAATGACACTCAATTAAAGAAACTTGCCAATCAATTAAAAAGTGTTTCCAAGTTCATATAAACTCCTAAATATTTTCCACAATTCTTTATTCCAAATGCATCAAGTTTCTTTCTTCAATATTCTTTTTATAAATAAAGACTGTTACTCAATGAAGTGTGCATATTCATTTAATAATCCTAAATTTTATTATACTTTGAAATTTAATAAGCTTTAAATTGTTTTCATAGACAAATATATAGAGTAAGTAGTTTAATTTCTTTTGACTTTATAGTGTTGTTTTTTAGTCTATGAATGATGATTACCATTTTTTTAAATTTAGGTGGCTGTGTTCTGTTTAATTTATAGATTTGTGGTTGAATTTTTTATTAACTAATTGAAAAAGTTGTTTTTTATATATTATTTTGAAGTTTTACTATATTATTGTTACATTAATACTTAACTAGTATTGTACATGTGTGATGCTCGGGACAATAATATGTTTGTATTTTGGTAAATTTTGTTATTTAAATATGGCAACAAAAATAGAACTATATATATAAATGAAAGTGAAATGCATGTGCATAGTAATAATATTAATGAGCATACATTATATGTTTTTTTGGAAGAAGGGGGCTTAAATTGAAATCAAAGCATTAACATTCAGATAGGAAATAAACAAAGTAAGGAACCACAGACAACCGTCAGCCCGCGAACCAGACTCAAAGTTAATCACCTTCAACGAAGCAATACAACTCGTTGATCCATTAATGGGCAAACATGAGCCACATACGATTGAAGCAGACCAAACCTCACCCAATTCTAATGCCAGAGTCTTTTTTTTTGAAAGGATGCAAGAGTCTTACAATTGAAAGAAAAAACAATAAAATAAAACATAGTCTGATCGACAACAACAAAAATAAATAAAGCAATAAAGTAAAAATTCTTCGTAAAGAATAATGAGCACCTTCTCCGAGTCCACACTTGGACTTTTCGGCTATCCCACGCAAACCGGCGGACCTACACGTACAAGGTCCGCCGCCGCTCCGTTTTTTGGATCATTCAGAGTCATATCTTCCTTTGTACCCGCATTGCTTCTCTGCTTCTCAGGTTCTTCTATGCTTTGGCTCCCCCGATGTCTCCTCTGGACTAACCGAAGCAACTTCCTTGATGCAGCTAGTTCCTGTACCCGTATTTTCCTTCTCGTCCTGTTTATCATTGTCCTGCTCCCCGGATTTTCCCATCCCAGTGCTGGAAGATCCTTCCACCAACCATTTAGTACTACCTGTCGGACTAGTCTTCACCCCAGACCCAGCTCTAAGCTCGACCCCATAATTTTTATCGAAAGTAATATTCTCCCCCTCATAGACTACTGGACAAAAATTATCAGAATGCCCAATAATACCACAAACACAACAGAAATTTGGGAGTTTTTCATATTTAAAGTCCACCCAATGGCTAAAACCTACCTTCTTTAAAGTAATGCCTTTTTTCAGAGGTCTCCTAACATCCATACGAACTCTACTTCTAAAAAATGATTTATAATTTTCATCAGTTTTCCGATCATCAAAACTAATGAATTGTCCAATATAATTACCAATACGTCTAGCAGAACCTAGATTCATAAAACCATAAGCACCATTGTGCACTTGCACCCAACATCAGCCTCATACAACTTAATTTGTAAAGGAATATCTTCTGCCTGAATCTCTTTTAGCAACAGCAGATTTCGTTCAAACAGCCACGAGCCTTCATCAAGAACACGCCTCATATCTAATTTATGATTAAAAGTAAAAATATACCTTTTATCGCTGATTTCCTGGATTGAAACGCCTTTCACAGGCGTCCACAACGAAGCCATCAATTCTTTGAAGTACTGAGATTTGATCTTACGATCAGTCAGAATGATGTCAATCACTGAGAATTTAGCCGCACCCTTATCCGATTCTTCCTCTTCCTCTTCTTCTTCATAGAAAACCACTTCTTCCTTGTCATCCCCAATAGCCATCTGTTTGTATTGGTGGACCACATCTTCCATTGATTTTCAAAACTTCTGCTTCGAAACCTACCCACTGCCGCAAGCTTCCCCTTTGACCGAACTTCTGGCCGCCACCGAAACCACAACCTTTGTCCGTCTTCCTCACAGCCACCACGCGAGCAGCGATTAACAAAAAAGAAACGCAGAGTTCAAACCAAAACGGCGGCCGCACCTCGGAAGCAATCCGAGAGCGGAGATAGCAGACCCTAGCGGCCGAGCCCTAGGGAGAATTTTTGCCCTCTCATACCTTATATGTTATATCTAGCAATTTGTGTGGTTGAATTGACAAAGAAAAGTGAACTACATGCACACTATAACGAACATACATACAGGGACGGATCCAGGATTTCGAGTCAAGGGGGGCGAAATTTTTTCATTAGTGTAGGGAGTGAAAAAATTTCGCTAGTAAGCGGAACGGGAAAAAATCGCTAGTGTAGCGGGGCGAATTTTTTTGCTAGTGTAGGGCTCTGTGGCTAATTTTTATTTAAAAAGTTCCATTAGTACATACTACATACACGATGACGATTAAATCTATTATATTCTAATTCTAATTATAGACAATGAAAATATAACTTTGATTTAATAACTATAAGTGCTCGAGAAAAAAATATTGATACATTAAAGCTTAAGAAATGACAAATTAAAGGGAAATTATTTGAAAATAAGAAAGGATATGATATACGTAGTATAACATTTTATGATATTATTTGAAGGTAAAGTGGTTAAAGTTAAAGGTACACATCAACCAATATTTCTTAAGTAACTTATGCCTTGTTTAATCACATGATTCTTAACAGAATAAAGAATTGATTTTTGAATTGAGATTTTTGTCTACCAAGAAGGGTATTTGTGGGTCATGATGAGTTTTCTTAATATTACAATAGTATGCATGAGATTACTATACTTAGAATAATATGATACGTAGTAATGTTAATTCATATATATCTGGTGCATATTATATTTGCATTAATTCTAAAATAAGTTAAAGTATTATCTATTCAACAAATTGTTTTTAGAAAGTAAGAGGTAAATGAAATGTGTAATTTAATGTCAACAAACATTTATACTATTTAACTACTGTATATGATATTCAATATGTTTTGATATCTTACAAAATCGAGTACTAATTATCTAATAAAAATAATTAAACATTACAAAACTAAGAATTTTTTGGTACCCTAAGTCTTAAACAACGAGTTCTATTGTTTATTTTTTTAAGTTATGTAAATTATTTTAGATTCTACTTCTTTTAAATCTCCAATTAAGCATTGCATTATGTGAGCCTATATATTAATTTTGAAAACTTAAAGTTAAGGGGGGCGAAAACATATATACCTAATTAAAGTATGAAAATATTATATATAGTAGAAAAAATTGGAAGTCCAAGGGGGGCGGTCGCCCCCCCGCCCCCCCCCTTGGATCCGTCTCTGCATACATATATATGTTCTACAAATATATCACATGGAACACCACAACACAAACACACATTTGTACAAACATGTCATAGCTAGAAATCATACGGAGTATTATATTACAATGTAACGACTAAATTCTCATAAACACCATCAATAACGACTTTCTCATAAAAACAAATAATACTCCGTAGAACTCAAAATTAAACAATGTAAATCAATTTTTTGTATGTTCTTCATGTTCTTATGACTTTTTAGTGTAATCAAAACGGACCGAAAAAGTAAAATTAGACAATTTTAACAGAACGGAAGGAGTATCATGAAGAAGTCGGCCTAGTCGTCTCCTAATAATAACACTTAATCGGTCTAATCGGCCAAAAATAAGTGTTTTCGTTGTCTCTTTCCTCCATAATAAGTGTTTAAAATGGTAAGAGACGGTGCAACATAATACTCCCTAAAAGAATATTTTTGGAATATTTATTCTAATTTAGGATTACTTTATTTCTAATACTTATGATATAATAATGATAATAATAAGTAAATATGATATTATTTATTATTATAACCATATAATAATCAAGGTTAAATGTAATAATTTAATCTGTAATAATACCTATTTATTTTTTCATCGGCTCATACAAATCAAATCGTGCCAATAAGGCACCATCGCTAGATACATCCAATTGGGCCCTCAGTGCCCTCAAACTAGTCAGCAATGCCCCAGACGAACTCTTCCGACTGAGGGCATCTGCTACAACGTTTGCCTTACCTGGATGGTACTGAATAACTAGACGGTAGTCCTTTATCAACTCCATCCACCGTCTCTGTCTCATGTTTAACTCTTTCTGAGTAAACACGTACTTCAAGCTCTTATGATTAGTATATATGTGACATGTCTCTCCGTAGAGATAATGTCTCCAAATCTTCAGTGCAAACACCACTGCTCCCAGCTCTAGATCATGGGTAGGGTAATTCACCTCATGCTTCTTCAATTGTCGTGAGGCATAGGCAATTACCCTTCCCTCCTGCATCAATACACATCCAAACCCTTGGATGCTCGCGTCACTATAGACGTCGTACCCCATACCCTGTTTGAGTAATGCAAGTACCGGTGCCTCGGTCAATCTCTTCTTTAGTTCAATGAACCCTTTCTCACATTTGTCATCCCACACGAACTTAGCTCCTTTACGAGTGAGCTTCGTCAACGGTGATGCCAAAACGGAGAACTTCTCCACGAACTTTCTGTAGTAGCCTGCCAACCCAAGGAAACTACGAATTTCCTTGACGTTCTTTGGCCTCTCCCATTCGGTAATGGCTTCCATCTTCTTGCTATCAACAGCAATTCCCGATCCCAAAACTACATGCCCGAGAAAGCCAATTTCTTTTAGCCAAAATTCACATTTAGAGAATTTGGCATAGAGTTGCTTCTCCCGTAGTGTCTCAAGGACAAGTATCAGGTGCTCCTCATGTTCTTCTTCACTCTTTGAGTAAATCAAGATGTCATCTATGAACACAATCACGAATCGGTCCAAGTATTTATGAAATACTCGGTTCATCAAGTCCATGAATGCCGCTGGGGCGTTTGTTAACCCAAACGACATAACAAGGAATTCAAAGTGCCCATACCTTGTGCGAAAAGCACTCTTTGGTATGTCATCTTCCTTAATCTTCAATTGATGGTAACCCGACCTCAAGTCAATCTTTGAAAACACGGTTGCCCCTCGTAGTTGATCAAACAAGTCATCAATCCTAGGCAAGGGACCTATTCTTGATTGTGACCTTGTTCAGTTGACGATAGTCAATACACATTCGAAGTGTCCCATCTTTCTTTTTCACAAAAAGAACTGGTGCTCCCCACGGGGAGTGGCTTGGTCTAATGAAACCATTATCCAAAAGCTCTTGCAATTGGGTTTTCAACTCGTTAAGTTCAGCGGGTGCCATACGGTATGGCGGTATGGAGATTGGTTTGGTACCATGCTCGACCTCGATCACAAATTCAATCTCCCTATCGGCTGGAAGCCCCCGGTAGGTCTTTAGGGAAGACATCCGGATACTTACAAACCACCCTCACGTCGTCGATGTTCGTTTCCTCCTTGGTTTTGTCAACCACGTATGCTAGATATGCGTGGCATCCCTTTCTCATCATACTTCTCGCTCTCACAGCGGATATGATACAACTGTTTGATTTGCCTCGGTCCCCCTCGAAGCGTTGGGTGTCCCCATCATTGCCTTCGAGTTCCAAAACTTTTGTGTAGCAATCTACCCTAGCATGATGCTTTTCTAGCCAATCCATCCCTAGGATTGCATCGCACTCCATCATACTCAGCGGTACGAAATCACACGTCAAGGTTTGGCCACCGATTCCCACCATACAAGATGGATAGTAATTGGTTCTTTCAACGTCTTCCCCTAGTGGTGTTGATACCACTAAAGTTTGCGTCATTGGTATTGATTGTATCTCTAAGCCCTCGGCGAACGCCTCACTTACGAATGAACGTTGCGCTCCGGTATCGATAAGGATTCGTGCATGCTTCCCATTAATCTTTAGTGTTCCTACATTTATAAGTCATGTGAGATACCTTTCCTACCATTCCTATACATTTAGAGAGGTTTATTATGTTCACACACGTGTTTGGGATCAAGAACGGGTCTTAACGTTGCAATACGGCGCGAAAAAGTCGACTTTGGGCTGCCGAGGAGGTACGCACGGCGTGCCTAGGAGGTACGCACGGCGTGCGTGTCTTATAACCTCAAAACGGAGCTACTGCCACGGACACACGGGAGGACGCACGGGGTACGCACGGAGGTACGCACGGCGTGCGTCCATCCACGCACGGCCGTGCGTGTAGCAATTTCTTTTCGGTTGCTACTGCCACCAACGCACGGACCAACGCACGGCCGTGCGTATGGTCCAGCCTGGTGTGCGTTGGCGGAAATCAGCCGTCTTTCGCCCGATTTCGCTCCGTTTGACCCCAAAGCTTCTTGCAATGATCCCAACGACTAGCAACCTCAATTTATGGACTAATCAAGGGTAAAACACAAGTATACAAAAGGTAATACCTGCAACGTAATCCGGGTTAGCTTGAGCATCCGCCTCCGTCATCGCATAGACTCTAGCTTGAGTCCTTTCTTGATTCACCGATGGCGCGTTGCTCGCGCTTTCTCCTCCATGCCCCCTAGTTGATTGGGAACCCCGGGCTTGGTTTCTCGTCCCCGTGGCCCCGCTACTTGGTCCTGATGACCTTGCCCCACCCAATTGTGGGCAATGCGCCTTCAAATGCCCGGTATCCCCGCATTGGAAACATCTAGGGGGGTCGCGACACTTACCGGAGTGGTTCTTCTTGCAATTGTTGCAACGAGTTACCACTGAGGCTTGTGATCTCGAGCCTTGCCCACTCGGGCCTTGGTTCCCCCTAGATAGTGGTGGTGGTGCCCGGAAAGATCCTCCTCCATGGTTCCCCTTTTTGTTGGAACCTTGGGAGCCATGACTCTCCCACTTTCTCTTTTTCGCCTCCTCGGCGTCTCTCTTCTTCCTTTCTTCCCATTGCTTCTCTCCTTTCAAACCCTGGTCAACCACTTGAGCAAACGTCATGTTAGGCAATTGTGTTGCCCTGTCACGTATCTCCAAGTCTAGAGCATCCCAGAAGTGGTTCACCATCCGGTTCTCATCACAAGCATACTCAGGTATGTAGTCAGCAAGATCCCTGAACTTGTACTCAAGTTCCCTCACCGTCATGTTACTCCCTTGGGTTAGAAGGGTGTATTCCCTCACCTTTTTGTTCACCTCGAAATCCGAGTAATATTGTGCAAAGAATTCCTCTCGGAAATTCTCCCAAGTGACGGTCTCACCATATTTGCTTTTGGTCCCATCCCACCACTTGGATGCCATACCTTCAAGTAATCTCACCGCAACCCTTAGTTTATATTCGGGGGTGAGTTGCATGTCCAGAGCCGCCTCATTCAGCCTCTTAATCCATTGCGCCGAAATGGAGATGTCACACGTTCCATCGAACGGTTTGCACCCCAAGTCTCGTGCCTCTTTGATGTACTTGGAGATCCTTATGATTGGACCTCCATCACCCCGGCCCCCATGTGGTTCAATGTGGGCCCTAGAGTCGTCATGGCTTCTCCCCCTTGAAGCCCCACCCGAAGGTTGCCCGGCTCGGCGCCTTCGGCGTTCCCTCCTCTCCTCACGCTCACGGTGATACTGTTGGAGTAGTGCTTCAATCCGTGCTAAGGAGCCATTTTCCTCCTCATCACTTACATCATCATCATCCCCCTCATAAGGGGTCTCAACCGGTTCAGTTTCCGGTTGATAGGTCGAGTCCTCATAGGACCAGTAGCTCTCGTTCTCGGTGCTTACATGACCGTCGCTCACGGTCTGTGATCGGCCTCCACGGCCAGCTCCTCTAGATGCCCTAGAGGTCCTTCGACTGCCCTGTCCAGTCTTCGTTGGTACACGACCAGTTGGGTTTCTCCTAGTAACCTTGCCACCACGATCCATTTCTGAAAGAAATTTTGGAAAGAGTCGTTAGACTCGTATCAAATGTCAATTGACAGATTGGTACTTAAGACGCCATTTGGCTCAAATTGCTGCCATACCAATTGCTAAGGGTACCATCTTAACAATTAGAGACCTTGCAACTCAAGTACCAAAAGCTCTACAAGTACAAAACGTTTATGCTCATGGTTTTCAAAATCATTTTGAAAAGAGGATTCTGAGACTTCATTATGAAGTTTATGGACTAAGGCTCTGATACCAACTTAATTGTCACGCCCCGGACCTCCCCGGACACGTCAACAACCCGCCGTACAATACGAATAGTCAACCGCAATCCAACACATTCATATTACACAAGGCGTCTTGAATATCATTCACACACATAACATCCATAAACAAACATAATAAGTAATTCATAACGCAGCGGAAAACATTGTTTAAAACAAAAGAGCCACACATGGCTATTCATGAGCACGCAGGCTCTATAGTAAAATATCCATGAGCAAATTTATTAATGTTTCAAATAGAATGGAGGAAGCACGGACCAAGTCTTCTCTCCGAGGGATCACTCGATCAACGAGCACAGGATGCAAGCTCTAGCCTCAACCTGAAATGGTGGTGGGACGCCCCCAAAGGGGTCAGTACTCTATACGGCTATAAAGTACTGGTGCGGCAGACATCTAATAGATATACAACAAGTATTTCAAACACAAGACCCTCGAATAGGGTGATAGTACATTATGGTTTGTAACCCTAAGTTACCCCGTTTGAAAATATACTTACTTTATGTAAAAGTCAAGTAGTCGGCCCGTGGGCCCATATTCATTTAGAAATCACCATTCCCATTCCCCGTGACTACAAGCCACGACAACTCATAGAGTCCAACCCTAACACATGACATTGTATTCTAGAACTCGGCTCTACCACATCACCATACAATTCATGTCACTCGGGTCAATGTCCTTACCTTGCGTTCTAGAGCTCAGCTCTATCACATCACCACGCAAGCCCTAGAGCTCGGCTCTAGCTATTCAGTACTTAGACTACAAGTCTACCACCTTAACATGCATCCTAGAGCTCGGCTCTATCACATCACCATGCATGAAGGTCCAATTCTTAAGCAACCCTATGCCTAGAATTGACATATCAATAAACTACCATGGATCATCCTTAAAGACTTCCCACCACTTAACCTTAGTTTCATACTAAGTCATCATATACACTTGAAGTATATTCAAGTGCATTTCATACAATCCAATCCCTAGGATCAATTCCATCAACAATTTCCAATAATCACTAACTAGTATTTCAATACTATTAAGATTATTGTTATCATACAAATATGCTCATTATTTGTAATCCTCTACATAGTTATAATTATGTAGCAGCAACTTAAGTGTTCAATCTCAATACATAAACATTCATTTATGTATCCACATAATTCATACATGAGTAAAATGCCTATTTCACAAAATAGTTCATTTATAACTCATTTACTCTCATTTTATTCATACATTCTCAAATCATTTCCAATTTCATTCTTTGGCAACTATCTCCATATTTCATCATTATATAATCATCATAATCCAAAAAAAAATTATGATTTAGGCATTTAGGTAATCTCATGCTTAACCTACAAGTTGTAAGCAATTAGATGTCAATCCTCACCTCAAATGAGCTTTAAAACTTTCCTTCTCGATCCAATGACCAAAGCCTCGGCCAAGGAAGCTTGAGCACTGATTCCTTGCTTAGAAATGAGTGTTAAACAGCCTCCTCAAAGTGCTAGTTCAACCCCTAATCGTTGATACGAAAACAGCCCCTAGAATGGGTGTTTTCCGGCTAACTCGTTTCCTAGTTTTCCAAGATTTGCTCTAGGTTAGTATCTAACCTTTACATCAATAAAATAACTTTATAAGGGACACATTATACACTTGGAGTAGTGTATAATAGTTCCACTAATCGTTCATATCATTTGGAAAATGAAAGGAAAGGTGTTGGGGGTTCAAACTCACTTTAGAAGATTAAATCCGTTCCTGCGAGGTTGCGTTTTGCTCGGACGATTTGGAAGCCTTCCACTAATCCGATTTATGCAAACCAGACCTTCACGGATTCCTCGTCTTGAGAGCTGTCTTTTGGTATCTCTCACGCCTTATTTGGATGTGTATAGCTCGAGATGAATCAAACAAGTAACCTTACGCACTGGAAAAACTACCTGCGGACAACTTGCTCTCTCCTTGGCTTCTCTTGGTTATGTGGCTCTCTCCTTCTCTCTTATCTTGGGGAGTTCGAATGGAGGGTTGTGGGAGTGTTATCTTGGCCTTAACTTAGCCTCAAAAGTCAAAGGATAGGAGTGGGTTGGCATGTGGGATGATGGAGCAAAATACCTTCAATCAAAAAAATGGGGAGAGGGTCCAATTGGTTCTCAAACATGTCTTGTTCAGCCCCCTCTCTTTTTGTCCGCCCCAACCAAGAATTTTAACCCATTCTCTTTATTTTGCAGGTGCCAAGAAGGTGTGGGGTGCTCCCCAAGTGATCCCAATTAATTTGGGGTCCAAAATATCTACCAATACTTCCAAAAATGAGAAAATGGGTCCTATTGTTTTATCTTTTGTTAAAGATGTCTTTTTGTACTTATCCTAATTTATTTAGAGCAAGTCAACTTCCTCCATCACATTATTGATCCCCAATATGTGTAGGCCCATCTCAATAATTTACTTGATGGATATCATAGAAGAAAAATCCTACTCTCATTATTTAGCTAAATAATGCTAAAGATGGGGCTAGAGGCATTTATATTCTTCTTTAATCATTCTATCACTTATTTTAACATTTGTTTGTCTTAAAAGATTATGTATCACTATTTAGATAATGTTGGGCTCTTTAATTTATTAATAAGTCCCGAATAAGTATTTGCAAAACCCGACACTAATGTACGAGCTTGAACAGTACAATAATCAACCATGTACTACGTAAAAGATTAATCGTTTTACAATTGTTTGGAAGTCGAAAATTCACTACGTAAACTTTGAATTTTAAATGGAATTTTCAAGGACGTTCGGGCGCGGTGTCACACTCAAAGTGCTAGTTCAACCCCTAATCGTTGATACGAAAACAGCCCCTAGAATGGGTGTTTTCCGGCTAACTCGTTTCCTAGTTTTCAAGATTTGCTCTAGGTTAGTATCCAACCTTTACACACATAAAATAACTTTATGAGGACATATTATACACTTGAATTAGTGTATAATAGTCCCACCAATCGTTCATATCATTTGGAAAATGAAAAGTAAAGTTTTGGGGTTAAAACTCACTTTAGAAGATTAAATCCTCTCCTGCGAGGTTGTGTTTTGCTCGGACGATTTGGAAGTCTTCCACTACTCCGATTTCTGCAAACCAGACCTTCCCGGATTCCTCGTCTTGAGATCTTTCTTTTGGTATATCGTACGCCTTATTTGGACTAGTGAATCTCAAGTTATGGATCAAACAAGTAACCCTATCTCCTGGAAAACGAATCCTGCGGCCAGCTTCTCTCTTCACCTCTCCCTTGGAGTATGTGGCTCTCTCCTTCTCTCTTATCTTGGGAGTTCGAATGGGGGTTGTGGAGGTGACTAATAGCTCTCAAAAAATGATAAATCATGTGGCTTACAAGAGGGCATGGGAAGATATTTGGCTTGTGAACAAATATGGGGTGGACCTCCTTTGTTTTTGTTTTCTCTTGAAGTTGTTTTGAGTAGGTGAGCCAAAGTCTGCCCCATGAAGTCAATAACCCTCATTTAATTTGTCTTTCAGGTACTCAAGCCATGTGGGATGGTCTCCAAATGACCCCATTCAATTTGGGGTCCAAAATATCTACCAATACTTCCAAAAAATGGGAAGATGGGTCCTATTGTTTTATCTCTTGTCAAAGATGTCTTTTTGTACTCATCCTAATTTATTTAGAACAAGTCAACTTCCTACATCACATTATTGATCTCCAATATGTGTAGACTCATCTCAATAATTTACTTGATGGATATCATAGAAGGAAAATCATACTCCCATTATTTAGCTCAATAATGCCAAAGATGGGGCTATAGGCATTTGTATTCTTCTCTAATCATTCTATCACTTATTTTGACATTTGCCATTCATATTATTGGGCTACTAGCCGTGTGGGTCACTCCCGAGTGGGTCTAGGACGCCATTCTCAAATACTTGCTATTTTTAGCAGTTTGGGCCCGAAATAATGGTTGGGCCGCCCGTCTTTCCTCAAATTGTGTTGAAAGATTATGTATCACTATTTAGATAATGTTGGGCTCTTTTATTTATTAATAAGTCCCGAATAAGTATTTGCAAAACCCGACACTAATATACGAGTTTGAACAGTACGATATTCAATCATGCACTACGTAAAACATTAATCGTTTTACAATTGTTTGGAAATCGGAAATTCAATACATAAATTTTAAATTTTAATTTGAATTTTCAAGGACGTTCGGGTGCGGTGTCACAGTAAGTCTACTGCTCTATACATTTTAAACCTCTAAGATTTGCTTCAATTCCCACACCGTTAAGTGAAGGGAAGGTACTCCGGCTATCCATCTATAAAGCCGCTCATCTCCCTTTTAACTATTAAGCCATGTGACAAGCACTCAAGCATCACATATGCAAGCTTGGCAATTAAAAGCCTAAGCTTTCGAGTAGCTCGAGTTGAACTTGAGTTATTAAATTTAGGCTTGAGCCCATTTCGAGCATTTAGAATAATTTCGAGCTCGAGTTTGAACATATGTGAGTTTGGGCTCGGCTCGTTTGCACCCCATTTGCATTTTATTTTATTGTTCTTTTCTTTACTAATGTAATTATCTTGTTATATCTAGAGGTGTATGTGAATTGTGAAGCACAAGCTTTTTTGCATACGTAAGTCTGTCATCCGTTTTTCACGATAAATTGGTTTTGTGACACACCAAGGTGCAACCACATTTTTCCGGTTTTCACAATAAAATGGGATTAACCATTATTTATCGCGCTCTAGCAACTTAATATGAATATCCAAAACTGGACTAACCAACATAGCTCAAGCACTCCTATGAATATACAATCCAGTACCTTATAAAAAGTAGCCCCTCCGTCCCAAAAAGGTTGACCAAATTTCTTTTTTGGATGCAGAAAAAGGATTTGCCATTTCCATTTAAAGTAAGAAAAAATGTGGCTAAAGTTAATTCTCTCCCTGAAAAAAATTCAACCATACAATTTTTACTTTATTACTCCACGTGAGAGTCAACTTTGGCCAACCTTTTCTGAACGGAGGGAGATTTCCTCCTCCGAGACTTCGCGCTGTCCTAGGATTACCTTTTCTGAGGAAGAGATGCGTGATTTCTTCAAGCCATGTTGAAGGCTCTAGTTGTGGGTGTTCTGGAGAAAACTTTCTCTTTTATGGCAATTAAGCGAAGTCTGGAATCGCTATGGGCGGTTAATGGAGCAATTCAGGTCTCAGATATGTCCAATCATTGCTACGCTGTTCGATTTGAATCAAAGACGGATTACCTCAAGGCAGCATATGGAGGGCCGTTCAAAATCTTTGATTACTACATCACAGTGTCGTTTTGGACACCGGATTTCGATGTCCATCTGCCACTAAGACATCTACTGACTTGGATCCTATTGCCAGATATTCTACTGAATCATTAACATTGTTCGAATGTGTTGGTTTTTGTAGGATGTCCCGAGAGAAAGGAGACGTTTAAAGGACATTGATAATAATTAGTACTCCCCCATTAAATGTGGTCAAAATTGACTTGCATGTGAAATATAAAGTGAAAATTATGTAGTTGAGATTTAATACTTTAAATGGAAATAACAATTTTCTAGACAATTGCATAAATAAAGTTAGCAAAATTTAACTAAACAGAGGAGTAACTGTTATTGATAATCAGTTACAAAATATATAAAATAAAAAAGCATTTATTTAATTATTCTACTATATCTATCCATTGGTAAATAAGTAACTATTCAAACAGAATTCAATTGTTACTAGATGCACACAAATGAACAGTACATATGATTGTACTATTTGAAAATTAACATAAATTAAAATTGAACTAGACATTATTTGTACGACAATCAACAACCGCTTACATACATACAAAAAAATATGATACCTCACTAATAAGTGAGGGTATTATGTCTACAATGCATTATCGTTATTTACCATTAATTTATGTTTAAACCATCTAATTGTCTACCTCTTCTACTTGGCTCATCTAGACAAGGTACAAACATCTTGGAAGTACTGTATAATAATTTGCCTAATGAAAATGAAAATTTTTAAAGTCGGAGTATCTATTTTCATATAACGTACACTATTGTGCGAAATTTCGACAGTGTAGTTATAAAGTTTTTTATAGTAAAAATGTTATATAACCCACATACATGCATAAATGGAAATAAAAAATAAAAAATGTATTCAATATTTCATTGTATGTACTATATCTATCTACTCCGTATTAGTAAATAAGCATCTGTTTTAAAAAGAATTCAACCCTTACTAGATGCACACAAATGAACATATGATTGCACTCTCAAATTAACATAAATTTGAACTTAATTGAACTATACATTAGTTGTACGACAACAAACAACAATTCTTATAACAATACTTTTTGTGTGAAGTTTTGATAGTGTAATTATTAAGATTTTTTTGTAGTAAAAATATTATGAGGCCGTTTGGCAACCATGTTTTTCGGCTTATCAGACTTATCAGCCAACTTTTTCACCAAACACGTAACTTTTGATTTTGCGCGCTGAATTGTGTAATAAGCAGAAAAAGTAAGGTTGAAGTTACTTTTCTGGCTGTATTGGCTGAAGTTACTGTAGATGACCATTTTAGCTATTTTTACATACAATTTTAAAAATAATTTTATTAATAAAATATATTTTAAAAATAATTTTTTCTTAAATCAGCAGAATCAGCCAATGCAGCCATATGAGCCAGAACTTCATAAATTTCAGCAGAATCAACCAAAACAGCCAATTTTCGTGCTACCAAATTATACGGGCTCTATATAACCCACATACATACACAGATGGAAACGAAAAAAATATAGGTTCACTTCTTCTTAAACAATACTCTGTAATATGACTAGCTTTATTTATGGTAAAAAACCTTGTATGTTAATCGGGTTTTTTACAAGAATATTACTAAAATAAAACTTATTTACATAAATATGACTATTCGTTACTACAATGTAGTGTTGTGGTAACTAAAATTCAAAACTTGAACATGAATTACTATGATTTCATTACTACTCTAGTAACTAATCATATTTTTGTAAACTATCTTTATTTTGATCATATTTATGCAATTATTTTTAACATATATTATCGAATCTTTATTATCTAGATAAGTTTTAACGAACCCCACATTTATACTTATATTTATTTTTGTTATCTGTAGTTGTTATGACACATACAATGAGATGGATTAAACATATTATAAAGTAAATATTTTCAATTATGGATTAAACATATTTAGAAACTTTAAAGCACAAACAACTTTAAGCGCAGATACAATTTACGAGTACAATTTATAAGAAGAGAGTTGTTTTTTCATAATAATTACATACCCGTATAATAAATAACCATCTTAATTGGAAAAGGTGCAAATAGGCCCATGTACTAACAAAAAAGGTCAAATAAGTCCTTATTTGGGAAGTTCTGTACGGCTGTCGTCATTTGGGGTGGTTCCCGGTGGAATTTTTTGATGAAATTTTATGAGCATCTTATTCATTAAGTCTAGTTTATTCATACCAAATTTCAGCTAAAACTTCAATCGGGAAGGCATTCAAATGAATTCTTGAAATTAACTGCGCAGTTAGAAGCGCAATTATCTTCAAGAATTCATTTGAATGCCTTCCCGATTGAAGTTTTAGCTGAAATTTGGTATGAGCAAACTAGACTTGATGAATAAGATGCTCAAAAAAGTTCATCAAAAAAATCCACCGGGAACCACTCCAAATGGAGACGGCTGGACAAAGCCTCTTAAATAAGGGCTTATTTGACCTTTTTTGGTTAGTACATGGGCCTATTTGCACCTTTTCCCTAATTGTTACGGAGTACTAAGTAATACTATTCCCGTCCACTAACAATAGGACATGAGGGGGTGACACGATTATAAAAAAAGTGAATTTATGTGGTTGACATTGAATTGATAAAGTAAGAATGATTTAGAACCACCACAAATTTGGTGTGAGATAATTTTAGTAGAACGGACCGGAAAGGAAAAATGAGACAATCTTAGCTATTCGGAGGGAGTATGAGATTGTTATATGATACTAAGGTGAGGATGAAAGAATGCTTTCTTGAAAATTTTATATTAATTAGTGCATCTCTAACAATTACTACCTCATCGATCACTGCCTCGCTAACATTAGAAAATGAAGTTGTGCAATTATTAAGAAAAATAGATTCATGTAGTTGATATTCAATTGATAAAGTAAGAAAGATTTACAACTACATAAATTTTACCAAATTTGATATAAGACAATCTTGGTGCAACGAAACAAAAGGAAAATATGAAACAATATTAGGGGGACGAAAAGAGTATCATACACGGACTCTAATTTAGTTCTACATCATATTTTTATTTTTATACAAT